TCATATGATGTTTTGAACATTACTGCTTTATGTGCTTGTTCTCGTCACAATATTGGTAACTTTGTTAATCTGCGCTGCCAATCTACAAAAGATTGCAAAACTTCTTCGATGTTCGTGGGTAGTTTCATTAGCACTCAACTCGACAACACATCGAATTATTTCATTTCTTGATATACGCTTCCGAATTTTCATTCATGACTATCATTTGATTGTTAACTTGCATGGTTGTGCACTTTTGATGTTTGATCGCCATATAGGTGAAGTTATGTTCATTGTGGTGAGCAAGTTTTTGACAGTGCTTTGTCTTAATTGGACAAATCGTCTTTTTGGTTTGACAATTGACGGAGCTTGCAATATGACTAGATAGATTACTGGGGTTGTTACTCGTCTTGCCGACATGATGCACAAGGATTGTTCTTTAATTTAGATATGGTGTGAACTAGATTTTGAGTGCATCAACTAGATTTAATTTATGAAATAGATAATGAACAATATCATCAAAGAACAATTTTTTTCAGTGATGACTGGATTCATTAGTCAATAAACACGACAACATAATTTGATTGCAAAAATGCAAACTACATACCCTTGTGTTATCAATTGTTGGCTTTTGATGGAAAAAGTCATCATTTGATTCAAAATCCATCAAACTAAGTTATTCGTTCATATTAGCTCAAAGCAACTAGCTTTTGCTTCATCTCGACTTTGGTGGATTGCACTTCTTTCCATGTATCATTTCACCACACAAGTAGCTATCGCTTTTTTGTATTATTCAAGGTTTAACTGCTCTTGTACTTAAGTAGCAAAATGACTTGGATAACCTTGTGGCAACTTTCATTGCCGACGTTGGAGCAATTGAACCGTTCAACGAAGAATCAGTTGCGAATGTTAATCTATCAACTCACGTCATAGGCGATCATTATACAATTGCTTTGTTCAATGTTCAAGAATTTTTCATTGGTATGACTTCTTGGGTTGAACCCTTACTTAAGAAAGCCATTGAAAGCAATCTAAACGATCTTCAACGAAACATCATTCTTGTTTATGTCATTGCTGTAACACTAGGGTTTAGAGAGAGAAGTTCACTCGAAGATAGAAACATAAACTCTGGAGATGAGAGATACTAACAATGGTTCTACTCTCCCTTATAGAGCTCACACCAATAAGTACAAGGAGATAAGATCTAATCCCCACCATACATTTCATTCTTCGTGGATGAATGACATGGAGAATAACCCTAACAAGCACACGGATAGTTGACGTGACGTTTTCAACTAACACATCTACCCTCTACTTACCAAGCGCGCGGATTGCTTACGTGACAACTATGGCAAGTGCACGCTAAAGAATTTATATCAAGATTTAGAGTAACTTCTACTCTAGTTTTAACTAACTAAAGATAATTATAGTTGCATACTATCGGATGCGTGAAATTTGTGCTTATCGAGATCCGAACCACAACGCAATAATTGATTTTGGTTTTATTTTCTAATGATCCACATGAGCTCATCAAGCAATCTGTAATAGATTTTATCTGAAAGAATTGGCAACATGCTTTTCGAATGAAGCATTCTTATTCTTATTCATTAGATCAGATCGATATCATAGCTAATCAGCAGAAAAATCTAATCCATGCTTATAGATGTGAGCTAGTGATTAAGAGCGTCATTAATTAGCTTTCTAGTAGTTCAAGTTTCAAGTACGACTGGTTTTCATTTGGTCTTCGATTTTTGAATCCGATGAAATATTGTGGTGTAATTGCAATGTTTTTTCTTGAAATAAGTACATAAGAATCTGATTTCTTAATTTTGTGTTGGGATCAAAATTTGTTTCAAAAAAGATGATCAAATCTTGAATTAGAAGTTGTTATGAAGACAAAACAGTTTTTGTTCATAAAACACTTTGAACATTGACAAATGCTTAGTAAAAAAATTTTTATTGAAAATTTTGTATTAAAATTACTCATGAAATCCATATAATTTTTGTTTTGACTATGAATAATTTTTGTTAATAAATAACTAGTAGAAAATTTGTATTGAAAATGGTCAAAATATTTTTTTAACAAGAATAAACTAATCTAAATTAATTTTTCAAGAAACTAAATTCAACAAAATTAATTTTTTTCAAGGGACTAAATTAGTCAAATTTTTTTTTTAGTAGATTAAAATAATACAACATTAGTCTTTATTAATTTCTTTAAATAACACTAAATTAAACGTATTTAGATAATTTAGTCAAGTAACTATTATAACCATGCATGCATAGGAGTCATGTGCTTTCCATTGTCAGAATACATTCACTTCCTTGAATAGTTCACAGACTCTAGTAAAAAGTATTTAATGAAGATGATGATTGAAATTTATGTTGTAAACGTGACGACATCCACTATAAGAGAACGCTGATGATTCACTCAATTACATTGTTCGCTTTCACAACAAAGTGAACATTTACTTTGACCTTCTAAGAACATTTTACAATCACATTGTTCGCTTTCACAACAAAGTGAACATTTACTTTGACCTTCTAAGAACATTTTACAATCACAATTGGTACGGAGGAGTAAGGTTGTTGTCACTATCTCCATCACCCACAAGTTTCAGCCAGAAGATCTGATGATTCAGCTGCATAGCTTTTCTACACGCTACCCATTGTAGTGTCTGACTACCCATGGGTCTTGCAGCCAGATTCACATTCTCCCATTCCAATTGAACATGGAGTTTTACAAATAGCAGAGTACTTCACATTTGATATTCCATTACTTTCGGCATCCACATCCCACATTTTTGTTACGAACCAGTCTTTTATATTTCAGATTCAGGCTCTTTTAATTAAACAGTATGATAAATAAATGATTGTATCAAAATCACCATGGTTTTTAACATAAAATTTTTAAAATTTTACAAAAACACAAAAGCACTTACTTTTTTTAGAAAAGATAATAAACTTAAAAAATGAAAATCTTATCAATGTGAAGAATTTTAAGATAAATTTTTTATTTTACGTGGGGAACCTTTACCTCAAGATGCTAGGAGCATTTGAAAAGGAATTTTATTGATAGGTCCAATAGAAACTAGAAGATTTTATTTAATTAAGAATTTAGCAGCAGATTCTTATGTAACGTTATTCAAGATTTTGATAAACAAACTGTTATATAGTAAACCTGATGTTATAATAGAAAGATAAATGTTTTAATTGAAAGTTTACGTAGGTCAAATCTTACTTTAGTTTCTGTGAAGATGCGGACTACGTGGACAGAAATACCCTATGAAGCTTTACTGTCCCCTGGGATTGGCTTTGGGTTTTTCTTGCGCAGCTTAGGTGGAAGGCAAAGAAGTCCCCTTATGGGGGGGGCGCTGGAGCCATCAGTGAAATACCAGTCTGGAAGAGCTAGAATTCTAACCTTGTGTCAAAATTTTCGGCCCAAGGAACATTCTCAGGTAGACAGTTTCTATGGGGCGTAGGCCTCCCAAAAGGTAACGGAGGTGTGCAAAGGTTTCCTCAGGCTGGACGGAAATCAGCCTTCGAGTGCAAAGGCAGAAGGGAGCTTGACTGCAAGACATACCTGTCGAGCAGGGACGAAAGTCGGCCGTGGTGATCCGACGGTACCAAGTGGAAGGGCTGTCGATCAACGGATAAAAGTTACTCTAGGGTTAACAGGCTGATCTTCCCCAAGAGTTCACATCGACGGGAAGGTTTGGCATCTCGATGTCGGCTCTTCGCCACCTGGGGCAAATAGCTTTTCCAGTTGGAGTTACCAATCCACATCAAACACCTCTCTCGAGTTAACAATAGGTTTTAGTTCGCGAGAGACTTGATCTCCCCACTGCACTCGCTCTACCTTCGCTTCGAAACCCTAACCCTAATCGCTCTTCGTGTAGCCTCCTGCTTACACTTTGCAATGTTTTCGTGTTCACTGCTATTTATTCGATTCTTCACGTATGTCCAGCAATCTTTGTGTCGTTCCTCTTCTCCGCCAGGAGTGTCATCACAGGCACACTTGCACGCATGTTGTGGCTCTGCGACGTGAGTTCAGATTCCTTCGGGTTCACAGCTTGGGAGAGTTCTGAATATCTCTATCTAGCGAGATAGATTTGATTAGCGTGACATATTTGACATGGGCTTTTGCAGACCGAGTGCAAGATGTCTTTTGAATCTCGATTCGCTGCGAGGAGTTTCCGATCCGAAACTCGAGTCTTTACCTCTAGAGGACGCGTGGAGTGACTTGTGTGCGGTGAAGCATGTGGCTGACACGTTAACAGTGCTACTCGATCAGAAAAAAAAGGAACTATGAACTATGATCCTCGTAGACGCACGGATGAGGAGATCTTTGTAATTCAGTCCAAGGTTCGACACAGAGCTCGTGTCTGGAAGAATTGAGGTGGACTGTGGAGCCGGCTCGCGGCCGAAAGCTTTGCCTGGGAATGACGGCTACTCGGTCCACTGAACCTCTTCGGCTGGGGTATATGGAAATACTCGGAGTCTGTCCAAGGGAACCTCCTACTTCCGGCTATCATTGGAGGAGGTGACATGGTGTCTTTGGGGACGCGTCCTGAGGAATGGCACCAGCGACAAACATTGAAGCAGTCTGTTTCTTTAGAAAACGTTAGTGGTTAATGGATGTCAATAGAAGCTCTTTCGTGTGCTGCATGTCCAGGACCCAACATTTGAGCCCTATCTCTCAACTCTGAGTGGTTAAGTTTATGTTCTCGTGAAACCTATTAGACCCGCTCGATCTGCAAAATCCTCTCTTGATTTACCCGCGCGTATGAATCAATTCTCAGAAGTGTTTTAGTACATCGATGACACCTTCTGCCACTTCAGCTACCAACGAAGGTACATTGGAAAGTATACTTCCGACGAATGGGAAGAGTGGAGAAAATCCAGTCCTGAAGGGACTGGGATTGGACGTTGCGTACAATGATCTTTGGAAGGGAGAAATGAAGGATCTGGGCTGAGTCTTGCTAGGGAGCACGAGTCTTACTCACTCGAGTTGTGGGATCTGACGGGTCTACTGCAAGTGAACCTGGCTCTCCAGATAACAGGTGTCTCAGGAACCTCATGGGCAAGAGACGGAAAACCGGCGCAGATTCATGAGACCATAAGGCAGATCCAGAATAAAGAGAGTCGCACATGAAACGTCCACCAGCTTTCCATCTCCAAATGTTAATGTGGCTTCCGTGGACGGTAACATGTAGAAAACCCCCTTCTGGTTCTGCTTTATGGCCTCTTGAATTTGCGCCGCCTTTAGGGTCTCTTTTTTACACTCGTAGAGCAGGTAAATTCTCATTTTTTACTAGACTGAAGGTTAGTATTCTTGTTTTCGTATCTAGACTTCAAGGTGTATTATTGTGTAGATGTTAGAAGGTTTTTATTATAGAATAGACCCTCACGAGAGTCTACATCCTTAGGAGCATGGAAATTAGATATTCATGCTCCTAGGAATGTAGACTTGTATCTGATGGTCATCAGATTGAAGACTAACTGTGAAACCTTCCAGCAAGGAAGATTTCACAGTCTGACGTTATGCTCGAAGCCGGAGCTACTCTAATCAATGACCTTAAGTCGGAACTACGTAGCATCTAAGTCAAATCCAAATACATTTAGATTCATAACGTATCTTTCATAAATTAATCTTAAATTTGAATCGCAGAACCTTAGATTGGTAGTTCAGAGAGGTGAGAGGATATAGAGCATGTTGCCTGCTAGAGTAGAGTTGTACAGAAAAAGTCGACCAGCTTTTGCAATTCCAAATACTAACCCGGCTTCTCGGAACACGGACATGTGGGTGGTCCATTACCTGGTCTGGTCGAGTTCCTATTGAATCAGCGCCGCCTTTCCGTCTGTTGCCCACGAAGCTCCTGAGATATTTATTTCCTGGAGATTCAAGTTCACTTGGAGTAGCCCCATCATGAGATATAAGTTCACTTGGAGTAGCCTCACCATGTCACTGAACGTCTCTTCGTCCAGCGAGGTCTCACTCAAATCCAAGTCTAAAATGAGGAGAATTTGCTCAGAAGTTGCTGGAGGTTTGGGATTACATATCCCAAACCGTGCAAAATCGCTGAAGTTAGAAAATTGTCAAGTTCGTACTTGAGGTGTTCTCACTTCACGAAATGGAAAGGTAAAATTCTATGCACGCTATTGCTGAGTATTTGTTCAGCCACGCATGCAGTTTGAAACTGTGCAAACTATCTTTGGAGATTTTCACGTTTACACAGTTTTTGTAGTTTTCTCAAACATCTTATCGCACATAGTCATGTTTCTGAAGAAGATTAGAAATATCATAAGAATTTGGAGGAGAAAGTACAAGTACAATGTCTCGCGTTATTAAAAAGATGAACTTACACGTTCGGTCTTCAGTCTTAAATGATATAGTTCTCAGAATGAGTGTTCTGAATTCGATTTGAGTAATGTGAATTGAATAAGAGACAGGAAAAAACAGACTATTTTGTCTTTTTACAAGTAGCAGATATGTTTGAAACTGAAGAGGAAGATTGACCATTGCACCTACTAACCACAGCTACATTATGCCGGATTTGGCTTATATTTACCACCGTAACATGAGTAGTGCACTCTTCGAATATTATCGAGCATTATCAGGTGCATCACCTGCACAAGCAAACTCACTTGCCTCAGAATCATTCAGTACTCATCCGTGTAGTATCTTGGAATCTTCGGGAAATGTAGTGGAGAAGCAAAATTCATCCCAGTGCGTAAATTTTCAAGATTCAGGTCAAGTTATGATCTCAAGCTACGTGCAATAACTATGTAGCGTATATTTAGGGAAAAGTTTGAGAAGCGTGCGCATTTCAAACACTTAGCGGAAATATCCGTTAGAATGTCCCTAACTCTCTCTCTCAAATAAACTTCTGCTTATCCATTGCACTCCGCATGAACAAGCTAACGGTTAATTTCGATTAGTTCATCTCTCTTTCTGTTCTCTTGGAATATGGGCTCATACCACATTCGTCTTAAACTTGCCTTTTACAAAATTATATAAGTCCCTTCATCGTGTACAAGTTGCACTCACTAGTACCGAAATTGTAGTGAATATTCTAGCTTTCCCGCTTCAAGGACAAATCACCCTTGACGATATATGAACAATCGTTGCACAAAAACTGGTCTATAGTCCAATTTTATACAAAAAAAATAAATCTTAATTTATGATTTTCAACAAATCTGATCATTATGTCACTGAACTGATGATATCTGCAAGTCTTAATCTCACTCAGATACCCCAACTTTACTGAGGATCTTCCACATATCTCTGATAATGAGTAAACAATATTCGCTAGTCTTGAATTTGTCACTGATCCAAAAAGACGGGGAGAAATTAACAGAAAGATCTGACTCCACATATTATCGTCAGTTCCGAAGACACAACTGAGAACCTAGTGATTGGTGTCAGATCTGATCTGATTCGAACTGTAATTGCAGCTTGACCACCACCTTCCACTATGATTCTCGAGTAATAATCACCCCGAGACTATTATGAGTTAAAAATTCGTGATTAAGATTCATGTCACCCACTTTGTACAGTTCACTGCTGAAGAGTTGTGCACTCTTGTTCGGTTCAGACGCATTCGATCTCAAATGAATCTGTTATAAATCTGTTTTATGTGTATATTATAAATCCATAATCAACAATTGATATTTTTTAATGATTTGTATGTTAATTTTGAAAAAAGTGCTATGTAGAAAACGATGAAATTGTAGTATTAAATTGTCTTTTTCGAATTCTCTTTCAAAGAGTTTGAAATAAAAAATCTATGGGTATGAAGGTGAGCGTATAATTGCTGCAAAATACGTTGATCAATAACAATTTAAAACAGAAGTTTGTTTCCTTCCTCAACTATTGTCTTTAACCATTCATCCATATCCGCGCACTTATTATCTTCATTCCAAGTCACAGCACAAGGTAGTTTCATGCCTTCATGAAAGTCTGAGTGATGTTTGGGTGCAGAGGGGGATTTGTTTTCTGGATAGGTATGAAAGACGGACCTCCTCCAGATCCACTTTTTTCGGTGCGTTTGCCCTTAACGTTGAGGGTGACGATTTTGCCTTTGAACCTTCTTACCAGCTTCCGAATGTGATGGAGCATTATATAGATCTCTGTAACAATATCAAAACTATGAATGATTCAAACATAATGACAAACCTAATAAATATTGATAGATGTAATATTGTTAACATGAGTCTAAGAGTACATCATACTTAGTAGTTTAAAAATATTTAATTACTAAGTATGATGAGGTTGCAAATCTTATTCACTAGATCAACCCTTGTCAACAAAGAAATGAATGAATAAATCTTTTTGAAGAGATATTAGATGTATGTAATCTATAATATAAGCAAACAAAAATATCTAATTGTACATATATGATACGATGCAAATCAAAACTTAGAAGTTAATGTTTGGGATCTATGCAGTTAACATAAATATTTACATTTCAGTCTCAGTACATACAATTCTATTTCAAAATCAATGTGTGGAGTTTTCAATAGTAAGAACTCAAGTGAAATCTGGAATTTACAGATAACACATCTGTCAATTTTTATCAGATTTATATTTTTACATGTTTTATAATATATGATATTATATGATGGCTATTAATCATATATAAATTGACTAGAAGTTGAGATATAATTACTTCACATCATAAAAGTTGAAGAATTACTTTTATTGTTGTTATTGAAAATCAATAACAACAATTAATAGGTTGAAATATTTAAATTAATGATTTTTGTTTTTATATTTTTTTTTTGAAAACGTCAGTCCTTGTGTTTTCTATATTTTTGTAGAATAGTATGAAAATTTTTAAAGAATTATCTGCTTATATGTAATTAAAATCCTGAAATTTAATTTGAAAATAACTTAAATCGAATTTCGAGAGATAAATGAAAAATTAAAATTACTAAACATAGATAAAATTAATTTTTTAAGTTTAACGATCAAAAATATTTTACAAATAAGTATTTTTACATTTATAATTAAAAATTACTTAAATATTTTTACTAGTAAATGAAAATAGTATTAGCATAAATTTGAGATCTGAAAAATAAGTAAAAAATATTACACACAAAAAGTTGGAAAAATGATTTTTTCTATCATGAAGTTTATATATATTGAAGGTTTCCTAAAATCATTTTAAAATTATGGAGCAGTTAATTATAAACTTTGAAATAGTCCGCATTTTTTTGAAGTATTATTTGTTTTTATGCAGCAGTTAAAGCAGTTATAAAGCCAGATTAACATGGAGCAACACAAGTCACATGAAACACTAACTTTTGTTACTAGCCAAATAGATGATGATGTTGTTGAATTTTAGCAAAAATGTTTCAGCTCAAAATTTTTTTTACCAGGAAAATTGTATATTACTAAATTTTATTATCTTTTACACATTGTCATTTTATTTTATAATTTTATTCTAAAATCATAGCATGATTTCAATTTAAAAATTTACAATTCTAAGTTATATATTTTTAAATATATAGGAAACTAATATAAATGTGTGTTATAAAAAACATTAGATCAACTTGAAGCAAGATTCAATCGTGTAAAATTTCAAATGTTTTTTTTTATGATCTTACAATCTAATTTATGCATAAACTTAGTTATAGAGCACTTTTGAAACTTAATTTCTAAAAGTGATAATCTTTATATTATCAAATTTAAATCTTTTGAAAGGATTCAAATTCAGCATTATAAATTTGATTATGAAACAAAAATTTACGAAAAGATGCATCAGTGTATTACTGCAATTACAACTGAAGTTGCAAATAAAATAACTGTGATCCTCAATTTTATGCCCAATAACTGAACTAAATATTATTTTATATCATCTCGATTTGTGCGTGTCATCCTTGCGCAGGGGCCATGCTAATCTTCTCTGTATCGTTCCAATTTTATCGGATGTCCTCGAAGGGACATCCGATAAAAGACTTTGATAACAAAATTTCTATTTATAGATTTCTACCATATTACACTTTGAGATTTTATTAGTCATTGAGATAAATGATTTGGCTTGAATTAGGAAAAAAAAGAATAATGGATATGCAAATCTAATGCAAATATTACATTATATTTTGAACAAAGTGTCAATCATTAAGATGTAAAATATGTGGGAAAATAAAATCTTCAATTTTAAAGACTTAAGGTATTTAAATCTTAAATTTTTGTTCATATAAATACAAATGACATGTAGAAGAAGTCATATTTATTAAACAAAACAATGCACGATTGATTGCTCATTTTACAAGTTCATTCATGATTGAATGAACTTGTAAATGAGTACACATGTTTTTCGGATAAATTTTATTAACATGAAGAAATGAATATACGTATTTGTTCCAAAAAAATTTAAAGTTATTCTATTTTTTGAAATAAAGAAAAGAAAATTTAGATTTTACGATTTGTCACTAGATTCCAATATAATTTGAAATATATTAGGTTTTAGCATTAATTATGAGTTAGCTCTTGAATTTTTGTATGAATAAGTTTGTCATGACATTCAACATAGAGTTTATTGCAAACATTAAACATTCAAATGCTTATCTGCATTATAGGTTTTTGGGATTTTTTTTCATAAATACACATAACATACATTTTGAATCAAAATCAAAATTAAATTTTAATTTTAATTTTGAGGATAATTTTGGGAATTTAAAAAAATTATTGTGATTATTAAATTTTATAAAATCCTTTATGGAAGTTGTGTTTGTTCTTGCATGTAACGTGGATAGCGGTAAGATTAAGGTTTAGATAAAAAATTCTATCAAAGATAGAAACATAAACTTTGAAGATGAAAGATATTCTACTCTCCCTTATATAGCTATTACCAACAAATACAAACAGATAAAATCTTATCTCTACCATACATCCCACTCATAGTGGATGGATGACATGGCG